AGTTTTGTAAGTAGCTCATTTCTTTTTAACTAATAGTAATATTAACTGTAATATTCCCTTTTTTATTCTGTTTTTCTTCCTTGGCACAGTCAGATTTTAGAGTTTTCATATCTTAGGTAAAGTCCTTAAATCTTTATCCAGCAACTTGGAGATTTGGGAATTTTGATTTACATAGTAGACAACCGATCATTATGTAGAAAGTAAAACATTAACTTGGATCCCACTCACTGAGAGAGCAGTTCATAGTGAGTTAATATGTAATAATGTAGACAATTTCTTTTTATGTCTGGCACATTTTCCCATTAACTTATCCTAATTTACTGAGGAAGAGCTTTGTTTAAAGCTTTTTCTTATGGAAAGTTTAAAACATAAAATCATGTAATGAACCCCTTTGTACCTGTCACACAGTTTCAGTAAGCAATATTTTTGCCACTCTTGTGTCATCTATATCTTCACCTATTTTCCATCTCCTACTAGATCATGATAATGATTTATGGTTCTTTTTTTCCCAGGTAAAATTTACATACTCTGAAGCATACACATCTTAGCTGTAGGATTTTGGTAAATCCATAGGCCCATGTTTCCCACATCGCCCACGTGCTTACCAAGACACAGAGCATTTCTCATTTCCTTCTTCCTGTCAGTAGCCTTCCGTCCTGAGGCAATCACTATGCTGATATTTTTCACTTGTAGGTTAATTTTGCCTGTTCTAGAAGTTGTATAAATGGAATATTACAGAACATCCTTTTTTTAATCCAACTTTTCATTGTTTCATTCATGTTAATAGCATAAGCTGAGTACTAGTCCATCATATGGATTTATCATGATATGTGAATAGATTTAGCTACTTTAATATTGGCTTGCAATATATATAGTTTCCGAAATAAATTGGCATCTAAAAATCCAGTAAACTATAACTGCCACTCTTTTTTTCTCACCCTCTACTTTAACCATTACATAAATATATAATATATAAAAAATATATATTTAATTTAATATATTCTGAGTTAGTATTGTGCTTAATTTATACTTTAATATATTACTTTAATGTGTTGTTCTGAGTTAGTATTGTGCTTCAACAAGTATCCATTACCTTCAACTTTTGACATTTTAAAGTTTATATAAAACCAATACTGGGCGCCTGGGTCACTCAGTCGTTAGGTGTCTGCCTTCGGCTCAGGTCCTGATCCGAGTGTCCTGGGATCGAGTCCTTCATCGGGCTCCTTGCTTGGCGGGAAGCCTGCTTCTCCCTCTCCCACTACTCCTGACTGTGTTCCGTCTCTTGCTGTATCTTTCTGTCAAATAAATCAACAAAATCTTAAAAACAAAAAAGCAATACCTAGGGCACCTGGGTGGCTCTGTGGATTGAGCATGTGACTCTTGATCTTGACTCTCAGGGTCGTGAGTTTGAGCCCCAGGCTGGGCGTGGTGCCTACTTAAAAAAAAGCCAAATATTTAAAAATAATTGATTTTGTCAGAAATGGATTTTTTGAATGACAAAAAAAGTTTTCTCTGGAAAAGAATCATTTTACTTTCCACTAAACTAACGGCATAATAGGTAATGCCTTTTTTTTTTCCTTGTTTTTCATTTTCTTTGTTAGAACCAAGTCCGTGAGTTCTGAGTTGGAAGCAGCGGCATCTGCTGTTGCAGATTTTCTCCCTTTTGATAAGCAGACAACCAAGTCAGAGCTGCTCAGGCAACTCCAGCAGCATGAGGAAGTCTCAAAGGCACAGAAAGATGGAGAAAGAACTAAAATTAGGTTGGTGTATCAAATAGTTCTGTCGGTAATGCTGGTTTTTCAAAATAGATTCTTTTCATGTGACTGGTGAGTAATGTGCACAGTATATCAATTTATACATTAAATATTTCTCATAGGTGGAATATTAGTATTTTTTTTTTAAAACTGACATGTTAAGTAAGATTGCAGTCTTTCAAAGATCAATGGAATGGTTAAAATTTTTCTTTCGCGAAGTCACACGATTTCTTGTCCCTGAAAAAGAAATGATAAATTTGGTATTGTGATTAAAAACAAGTAAAAGAATAAGACAGTTTCTCTGAGAATATTAATTTTTTTCCTGTTAAATAATTTGCTGGTCTTATGTACAGTATGATCATCTTCAGGCCTGTTTCCTTCACTTTTACTCTTATCCTTATGTTTTAGCTGATACCTCCTCACTCTGCCTCTCATCTCATTATTTTATGCCAGATTTGAAGTTGATATAGTACTTCAGATGTCTGATACTGTTTCATAAGTGACACTTTTTTTTTAATAGTGTCACATCAAAGTGACACTTTTATGTTTTAAATGAACATTTCTGAAGAATACCTTCAAAAGTTGTATTTCAAAAAGAAATATAAATCTTAGTGGTCTGTGGGATGTGAATTAACATATGACATATAATCTTTCATTTAAACATAATGCTTTGTGCTGTTATAGTACATGGAAGTGAAATATGAATTAAATAAGGAATTTCGTGTATAAGAAAGTTTATTACTGTCCTGTAGCTACAGTTTCTAATACACTTGACCTTTTTCTTATTTCAGTGTCAGTAACATAATATCAAATATGAAAGTTGTCAAATCTGCCACAGGTAGAGTTAGTACAAGACCAGTGCATCAAATTCAGTTTGATGAAGGAACTGACAGTTTCATGGGACAGAAGACTGATGATCTTAAGAAAAGGTACTCAAGCTTTGCAGTCTGGTTTTGTTAGCTTTATTTGTTTCTCTGTAGATTTACTTTATTTTGTGCATGTTATTGCTGATAGGTATTTGAGCATTATGGATGCATTTATATCTCTCTTCTCACCCTGAATGTACCATTTCCTATAGAGGAAACGATGTTCTGGGTTTAGTAGTCTTGTGCTTTTCTATACCATTAATCACATTGGGCCCTGCCTCCTATTTATCCCTGATGAGTAGAGGTCTCCTGATTTAAGGTAAGTGGAACTGATTGAATTCTGAACAAATGAGCACTTGTGAGAAGCATTATTTTTCATTCTGATATGTACATAACAATATTTATATAATTTTTCTATCTCTATATAATTATCATTATTCATACCTTAGAGAAATAATCTGCCATCAAAAAAAAAAAAAGAAAGAAAGATCCATTATAATACCTTAAGGTGGTAGATTATTTGTGGCAATTTGAATTTGGTGATTTGCAGACTTAAAGATGCTAAGCCATGCCTTATGTAATTATTTTATAATAAAAAGCTGTCTGTATTTACAGAAAGTTTCTGTTTTCTCTCCTTCAAGCCCATGAAGTAATAGTTGGGGAAGGGAAACCAGATATTTAGTATGCTATAACAAAAACTAACTGATCTTGATAGAAGGGGGGGGCTTACAGTTGGGAGTGTTTTTGACATATTATGTATTCTTTGGATTTTCTTTTAAGTATAATCCCAGCAAGTTAATCAGAAGTTAAACTACTGATTTGTACAGGAAGATTGTAAAAGATAGTCAACTGTTAACAAAGCAAGTTCAAGAAGTTACAATGATTTAGAGAGATTTTCTGAATTACTAATTTAAAGTGATTTTATGCCTATGACATGTTGGAT